CCCAAGCGGACCAAGCGGACAACGCCGTGACAGCCCAAAACCGACCAAGCGGACAACACCGTGACAGCCCAAAACCGCCCAAGCGGACACCACCGTGACAGCCCAAAACCGACCAAGCGGACAACACCGTGACAGCCCAAAACCGACCAAGCGGACAGCACCGTGACAACCCAAAACCGCCCAAGCGCAACTTCGGGACAACCCAAAACCGACCAAACGGACAACACCGTGACAACCCAAAACCGACCAAGCGGATACCACCGTGACAACCCAAAACCGACCAAGCGGACAACACCGTGACAACCCAAAACCGCCCAAGCGGACCAAGCGGACAACGCCGTGACAGCCCAAAACCGACCAAGCGGACAACACCGTGACAGCCCAAAACCGCCCAAGCGGACAGCACCGTGACCAAAACCGACCAAGCGGACAGCACCGTGACAACTCAAAACCGCCCAAGCGGACCAAGCGGACAACGCCGTGACAGCCCAAAACCGACCAAGCGGACAACACCGTGACAGCCCAAAACCACCCAAGCGGACCAAGCGGACAACGCCGTGACAGCCCAAAGAAACAACCCAAAACAAACAGACAACACCATGACGGCCCAAAACCGACCAAGCGGACAGCACCGTGACAACCCAAAACCGCCCAAGCGGACAACACCGTGACAGCCCAAAACCGCCCAAGCGGACCAAGCGGACAACACCGTGACAGCCCAAAACCGACCAAGCGGACACCACCGTGACAGCCCAAAACCGCCCAAGCGGACAACACCGTGACAGCCGAAAACCGACCAAGCGGACAGCACCGTGACAGCCCAAAACCGCCCAAGCGGACAACACCGTGACAGCCCAAAACCGACCAAGCGGACAGCACCGTGACAGCCCAAAACCGCCCAAGCGGACACCACCGTGACAGCCCAAAACCGACCAAGCGGACGGCACCCGTGACAACCCAAAACCGCCCAAGCGGACCAAGCGGACAACGCCGTGACAGCCCAAAACCGACCAAGCGGACAACACCGTGACAGCCCAAAACCGCCCAAGCGGACACCACCGTGACAGCCCAAAACCGACCAAGCGGACAGCACCGTGACAGCCCAAAACCGACCAAGCGGACAGCACCGTGACAACCCAAAACCGCCCAAGCGGACCAAGCGGACAACGCCGTGACAGCCCAAAACCGACCAAGCGGACAACACCGTGACAGCCCAAAACCGCCCAAGCGGACACCACCGTGACAGCCCAAAACCGACCAAGCGGACAGCACCGTGACAACCCAAAACCGCCCAAGCGGACCAAGCGGACAACGCCGTGACAGCCCAAAACCGACCAAGCGGACAACACCGTGACAGCCCAAAACCACCCAAGCGGACCAAGCGGACAACGCCGTGACAGCCCAAGGAAAGCCTAAACCTCAATCCGGGTGATTCCTAAAATTCCGGTAATTTTCAGCTCCGGGTGATTCCCAAAATTCCCAGAATTTTTAGACAATAAGCGTTAAAATTCCCGGAATTTTCAGGATCCCCCTGCAAGGCCCTCACAAGCAGCCAAATCGACCGGAAGAGGAGGCGGGGCATCCGACAGTGCGGCCGCAGAGCGAAAATAGGGGTCGAGCCCGTAGCCTTTTATAGGGATATTATAACTAAGACCTTTATCATAATCATCGAAATATAACCTCCCCTTCGATAAGATTAATGATAAAAAAACCAAAAGCACATCACTAAATCCAAAAGAAAAAAGATGTCTCCCATCAAGAACCAAAATCCATCCCCCCATAAAAGATCATCCAAATGAAGTTTGAGAAGAATATATATATATATATGTTTTTTTTAAGAAATGATTTTCTATTTCCAGAAAAATGTTTCGAGAATATCGAACTAAATGTCTGAATTATATTCCTTATATTTCCAATAAAAAGAATGCAATAATATCGTAATCTTTCGAGATTTCTTCAGATTTCCCATTTTCAAATGAATTAATCTTTCAACATCAACGATTAATGGTTGATTCGTTTCCTGCCTGCGTATTGAACAATTCTTTCCCCAGAATCACATCGTACCAAGTAGTATAGCTTCAAAGATCGTATAAATGATTTGTAAACCTCATTCCAAAGGGTTGTTATGATGTGCAATCATTGCAAGGTCCGCCAACAAGCCAGTGAGCACGTTCGCGCCATTCCAATCTTGCAGGGGCATGGGTTGGCCCATCTGCTGAACATGATGCCTGGCATATCCGGCCTCCACCACCAAGGCCAAGCCAAAGAGCATACCCAGGACCTCACTTTCGGGTCTCTGTGCAGCTTGGGATACTCATCTTCAAAGTTTGCAGTTCAAAGGTAGGTGGCCAGCGGCAAACATTATGAAGATGCGAAGGAGCGCCTGAAAGCTTCATTGACTTCCGATGCAAGATTGTGACGTAATGCTGGACATGCTTTCCGCTTTGCTTTCCCCGGAGCTTGTCTGCCAAGATTCTCCATCGTCAGCCATGGCTGCGAGCTTACTCGTCCAGGAGAGACTGTGGAAGTCCGCAACTGGCCACTGTGCGTGGTATGTGTGATTCCGTGTAAAACAACGTTTTTACATAATAAAGAAATTCATGCCAATGTAAGTTTGCTGATTCGAGTCCACCGTCCCTTAGACTGGCCTTGTTGTGCCAAGTATTGCAGATCTGCAACTGCTGTCTCCCGTCCAGAAGACTGTTCCCTCCCGGTGACTGTCAGATTCCGTTCGCAGAAAGGTTCAACGACATGAGCAGAGTCACCATGAGCCACCTGCCTAATGTATCCGTCGAGATGCTTCGCCGACCTGCCAAGTTCACAAAAGACAGCGAGACTCCCAAGCTTTAACAACATGAGTACTGACAACTCTTCGCAGGAGGGTTCGATTGTGGACGGCGGGCATTGGGAATTCTACATTCAGTTGAGCCGGGTTTAACTACTCAAGCGCCAAGCCGCGTTGAACGCATCGGACTAGGTCATTCAAGCTCGGCCCAGACGTTCTCCCCGAGAGGTGAACACAGCTCAGCTTGGTTGTTTTTTGCTTTTTCTTCCATCAGAATTTGCCGAATTACAACAGCACGCTCGGGCGTGGCCAGTATCGAGTTCAGGTTTTCAGCTATGTTCCACTTCCCGCCACGGAAGTAACTCAGAAAACATTTTCCAGAGGCACTATGCGGTGAACAATTCGTTCTTAGTCTGCACCGCATCGTGAAAGCCTGAAGCTGAACCCGATGCCTCAGCAGATCGCTGAAGCGCTTGGCAAGCCTGGGCTTCATAAGACACAGCTCAATGTTCATAGTGCTGAGATATGCTGAGATCTTACACCAGAGCCTTTGGCACAGTACAAGGATCTGCTGCTTTGTATCACAACTACTGCTCTGGACCAGAAAGGTCACTCATATCTGGGCGTTTCTTGGTGACTGGGGCCCTCAGAGCATGTGAAATATTCTCGGGAGCTAATTATGTTGCTTGCGTTCTCCTTGCTATGTTGGATCTTTTGCTTTCCAGCCTTTTACAGCTAAACAGGCCAAACAATGGCAAGTCACTCGCGAAGCTCCTTGCTTTGCTTGGAGGCAGACTCCTGCATGGACATTGCATGGCACTCCCAAACAGCGCTTCCAAAACCAACAATGGGCCTCCTGCTCTCGAAACTCCTTCGCTGACATCTCCTGAAGTGTCAGCACCTGTGGAGAAGGCACGGCAAACAACTGGATAGTGCAAGCTCACGGGCACTGCCTCTGTGGAAAACTCCACATACCGTTGCTGCTCATTCTGCGCCCATGCTTTGCCAGCCTGGCACTCCAGCACGTCATGGACTTTCGGCACTTCTGTACCATTGCCGTGTGGGCCTATAAGGTTACCATGAGTTGTGGAGAGATGGGGTTCCGCACCTCGATGTCTTTTATTTTTTTAAGTCAATTCTAGGGTTGCGACGTGTGTTGGGAGACGTCGTTGACTAGATTGGCAGGCCCCTGGCATCCCATTGCCTGCATGCGCTCTGTTGCCTGCTGGAGGGCCTGCAACAAAGAAAAAATGGTTTACAGGTAAACCCTTCACTGAAGTGTTGTTGCCCGGCCTCTGTCTTTGTCGTAGGGCTAGAGCTGGGTGATTCAGATGTTGAGATGGCCTGAAGCAACACGTTGACACAAAACTAAGAAGCCAAATGGTTTGGAACTGCTTTGACTGTACAGTTTTCCGCCGTACGTACCTGACAGCCTGCAACATCTCTCTCGAAAATCCTTGGAGTGTGACCCCAATGCAGTTCTCCAACCTGAGTGGCTGAAGCTCAGCTTGGAGTTCAATCAGTTCGCAAGAGCTTCGCCGAGCACGAGGCTCTCGAAGAATCACCTGCGACATCAGAGAACGGAAGGCCCGGAAGGCTGTGCAAGAATGTCCAGAGAAGCCCGATCAGGCCTCGGCGCCATCTCGAAACCTCTGCTCCTGACTTCGAATTTCGTTGTCGCTGGTGTGCCAAACAAACAACATGCGATGTGGGCAAGACGTTCATTCATGCTTCTGCAAGTGCTTGGCAACTTCTTGATGCACGCAAACTCCGAACAGGCCTCAGCCTTCTTAGCCTCACTTGACCTGAGGCAGCACACCATGTTAAGCAATTCGATCCCAGCATCCGTACGGAAGAAATTCTACAAACTACCTTGCACTGGGTGGGGAAAGAAACTGTGTTCGTGGGCCGAGGAGAAACGCGTGAACTTCTCTCGAGTTACATCTCAGCAGGAGATACTCGGTTACCTCAAGTTTACAGAGCCTGTCAGTTATTCCTCGTTGTCCAGCATACAGCGTAGACCTTCTTTGTATTTTCGAGTCTCAGCTTTCGGTGATGAGACTTCCGGTCACGAGGCTTTCTTCGATGACTAAAACAGTGCGGGCACCTCAAGAGCACGTGAAGTGCAGAGGGAGCATCCTGAACATCGGCAGCAGGCCCTCTAGGGAGGGCTTCCTTTTGAGCCGGAGTACGCTGATGAGGGTCCCAGCAGCGAGCATCATGAGCATCATGAGCATCAGCGACAGCACCATTTGGAGTACGGAATGTGCACGGGACCTAGGCGAGAGCACGATTTGGCACCGGCCACGAGGCCAACAAGTGTTCTATTCGCGATGTTTGGAACTCTTCTTGACGTTCGTGGGCCCTGAAATGCGCATGCGAAAGCGTCATCGCGAATTGAAGCAAGTTTGGCCTTCACAAAACGTCCGGCCCACCGACAAAGGCCATCGATTTCGAGGCCCTACTTTGTGCGCGCGCCGGCACGGGCTACCTCATTCTCTGGTGCACAATACCTGGCGAACAAAAGAACACCTGCGCAACAATCAAAGAAGGGGAAGGATCAAGGTCTTTGGTTCCCGGCATGGTCTGCTTCTTCAACTCTGCCTGCGGCTTCTGAAGGTTTCAAGGATGCCCTGAGCCCGTCTCCTGAGACCTGAGACCTGAGCGGACCTCTTGGTTCTGGTAGCTTCTGCGCAGGCTCTCGAGCTCTTGCTCCAGCTCCACCTTGCGCGACATCCTTCAACTGCTCTACCTCAAAAAAAAAGTACCGGTTGCTCGGCTGTGCGCAAAACCGCCTCGCCTCCCTCTCACTCGCCTTTGGAGTCTTTGGTGTCCTTGCCTGCAACGGCGCAGCCGTACTGGCTCGTAAATGGTTGTATCGGGGCTTAGGTCAGCACTGTTTTGCTCTCGACATCCTTTCCTTGGCCCATCGCCTGCGATTATCCAAGCTTGAGACGGCCCTCCTGCCGGCATCTGCTGCGAGAATCCAAAGACAACAACAGGCCTCTGTCTTCCGACTCGATCGATTGAGGAAGCCCTGCTAGCAACTCCATGTGATGCAGCATTTCACTCTTTCAGACGACGCAACATGCAGGCCAACGCCAAGTCGCGAAGGATCGCTCGAATTAGCACATGTCAGAACCTTTTTGCCTTAATTAGACCTCAAGATACCGTAAGCTGGTAATCCTGCGGTGATGGTTGTTGAGACCGTGCTCTCGACACGAGACCAGTCTCTCGACAGACTCGCTGTGAACGGGAAGACTCGAAGCTGCATCGCTGGCACAGTGGGTGGCTGTTCTGGGTCGCCGAAAGGGGGGGGGGCACTGTCTTTAATCATGCCCCCCGTGGTTGCGTCGTGGAGGCAGACTCCCGTTCATGTGACAAGCTCCCCAAACAACGGCTATGATAACTATTCACCCCTGCGCGAACGTGCCCAGTTGCCCCATCCTAGTTGATTGGGTGCGGGCGCCTCGCAGCTCCAGTTTTGGGACGCCGTTCTCTTTCTCTCTCTATCTCCCCTGCTTCTTCTTCTTACTCTTCTACGGGGCTTGAGGAGCCCGGGGGCCCCCCGCGCACTGGGCGCGCCCAGACCAAGTCCAGTCTCGGTGAGATTGCGCAGCGAGGTTCTGACCCTACTTGTTGGAGTTCCCCCGCACGTGCTACAACCCTAAAAACCCACCTACCCCTCGCGCACTGGGCGCGCCCAGAGTCGGCCTGAAACTGAAAACGTCCGGGGAAGACACTCAGAAGTGGCAAGTTCCCCCTGGCGGAAACAACCGAAAAGTTGCGTACCCGGTGGTTCGACATTTCACCTAAAGAACGCTACAATCAACACACCTGACACAGACACCCTTCTTCTCCGGTTGCTGAGAGCAAAGAGCAAAACATGCACACCCTCTCTCTCTCTCTCGCAACGTGTTCCACACAACAGCCAGGGTCACCTCCACTAGTATCAGGCACAATCCAGAGACTGAAAACCACAAAGGAAACGAGCGTCTCCACTCAGGCTTTGGAGCACATGATGATGTGAGATTAGTATATTTAGTTTTGTTCATACGTCATCAAAGTTTTTTTACGAAACTAATCTGAACATAACTATAAGGTGTCACGTTAGTTGTTTTTCATGTTTGTGGTCTTGTTGCTTTTACGTCAGTTGTTGATGCATCGACGATAAAGTATTTCGTGTCGTATTTAGGTTACTATTGAAAGCACTGCTCGATTCACGAGATGTCACCACCATGTTGAAAGGGAGCTTCTTCAGAAGGAGCCGTATCCTGCTTTGCAGCCCCCAAAACCCTAACGAATCCTTGAGAGCTGCCTGATGTGTCATATGATTAGGGACGTGCCTGGCCTTCTGTAGCGAAGATGAAGATACCTTCTTCTCAGCCTGGTGCACTTCCTAATTTGCAACTGGAATGAAAGAATTCAGCCTAAGTCGTGGGCAACTATTGTGGGTGTGGACACATGTGCGCACTGTGTGGTCTCTTTTCGTGGCTTCAGCCACTCTGAAACAGAATGTACTAGAATGCTAGAAGAGAAGCTGGAGGAACTACGAGCTGCTCAGGCCAGAGGCCATGGCAGGCCTTTCTTTCAGGTCTTATTCTTCTCTTGCCGAGAGCCAGGCTGGATCGGCTTCTCCTTTCAGCAAAGCAAACACCGACGAAGTGTAGGCATCCGACATGGCCCCCTAGACCGTTAACCTCGCGGTTGCATTCAGCTTGTTGGACGGCTGCCACGTCTACAGAGCCATAAGTACTGAAACTCCTGTGGAGACTCCAGTTCAGCAAAAGCGTTTCATTCAGCACATGCGCCCCAAGGTCAAAGCAGAACACCTAAGTTCAGAACTGCTACTAGATCCACCAAGGCACAAGCCTTGTCATTTGCATGAAAAGAAGTCAAAAAGTCTTCAGGATTACACTTGGCTTTTGTCGTGTGCTCCTTTTTCCAACCTTATCATAGTGGCATGTCTTACAGTAGCAGCTGCGGTCCTTCGGCGGGTCCACTGGCTCCGGAGGCAGCGGCTGGGGTCTCCGGCGACTTCCTAAAGAAGAGCGGTGCCGAGCGCACTGCATTAGCGCCCCTTAGCGGTGGCGCAACTTTGAACTGCGTCGGCTCAAGAGTCTCCTCGAGCTCTGTGCAGATCCGTCGCTGAAGGTGCTCTTGATCTCTGACTCCCATTGATGGGCCTTGTGTCAGCGCTGGGCTTCGGGCTTCCTATTCCCTGCTGTGGCCCACAGAGGCCGAGAGAGAGTCTGCCTCTGCATCCTTCCCCTGGGATCGAGCGCATTCCACTGCTCGACGGCATTCCTGCACTCGGCCCAAGCTTCCCTGACTGTTTTCGCAAAAAGCATACTCGGATTATGCAAAAAGCGGTCAAACGAAGTCAAACTCAGCTGCGGGTTGGACCTCCTCAGCCTCCTTGATTCTTCCCTGGCTCTTCAAGGATAAGCCCCGCAACCAACGCCTCATTTTCGCTCATGTCCGCTTCCGCAATGTCGAGCAAAAGACAAAGACGCAAAAACTTGGGGAAGAGGACAACAAACTAGAATCCTGTTGTCTGTATCATGCGTGCTGCTTGCTGTGGCGAAAGGTTGAGGATGGTTATGTGAGTCTAGAGTGCAAAGAAACTTGTAGATGTGACAGGTGTTGCGTGCAAGATGCACTGGGTAAGGCCGCGGCGAAGGCTTACCGCTTGCAATGTTCAAGCTTAATGTGGAGGGGGTGGGATGGGGGTGGTTTTGCGATGACCACCTGATAGGGCCCAACGTTAGGTTTTAGCTGCAAACGACGGCTTCCGCAAGTAGCCTACTTTCGTGACTACTTCCCTGAAGCACGAAGCTGAGAACAGCACGCGTGAGCATTGTTGAAGTCGAATTGGAGCACATCCTGCAACACGCAGGAAAGTTTTCTTTTAACTGCTGTGTCAGGCTTCCTAACCCATGGGCGACACAGCCAGCCTCAGACAGGTCTTTGACACGACCCCACCGGTTTGGAAGATCTGTCATCTGCGCGATCGACACCGCCTGCACGCCATTTTCAATGGACAATCTTCACTCTTTTGGAGTTTCCCTTGCGTTTATTGATGAAGCTATAGGGCACTATATGGCCTGATGGAGTCGTCCTTTGAGCACCGTCTCCAGCTCCTGAAATTTCAGATCGTCACGGTATGTCATGGTCACTGGAAGGCTCTCGAAACGGACCATTTTGCAACAAGCCGTGCCCTCTCAGAAAGTCCGATGAGGCTTTGCCTCATGCCTAGCTGTGAGCAGGCCGACGATGGACTGTGGTTGTGCGTTTCATGCGAAACAAGCTGTTGGAGCCATGTTGTTGCTGTCACCGACGCTTCCAGTCTGCGACGTGCGATCGACGGGAACTCCGGATCGGTCCCTGTTTGAGCACCTCCTCGCATCACCGTGCTCAAGCTTCTTCAAGTAGATGAAGACCGGGTCCAGCCAACCGCAAGCGCGTTTCTCCATGTTGCTGATGTAGCAGAGCTCCGCGTCACGTGCTGAGGGTGGCCTCTTCTTCACTTGGGCTGTCTGCATCTGCGGCGGACGTGGGTGACACGTGCTGCCTCGGAATATCAGCTGCGGCATCGCGCCAACCACATGTCTGTGTCGAAAATAGGGATTCAAACAAGCAATCTTAAATTCGTCGCAGACGTGCCTACTCGCCGGCTGTCGGCATTTATTGAGGTATCTGCGGTTCGGAACACTTTCCAGGCTCTGGACGGTTGAAAAATGTTGAAAAGGTTTGCGACTTTGCTTCTGCAGACATCTGCAGGCCATGCGGCTTGCCGATCATTTGGCCCGCATGTCTGGTGCCTTCAATCTCCAGGTAGGGCTCAGTGTGGCTTTTCGACCTCTCACCGGCGGCTCACTCACATCTTCGGCGCATGGCCTCTGGATACTCAGGTCGGTGCCAGTAGACGAGTCCAGATATGGCAACAAATACCTTAGGCTATTAGGCAGGTGACTACTTCCTATGCTTCTGCATGGGACACTATGCTTGGACAAGCCACGGCAAAAATGGCGTAAGCTGCATGGCCGCCCACGAAATCAAACAGTAATCCTCCTGGACTGCGACATTTCAATCAACACATCCGACTAGAACAAAGGCGGAGAGACACACACACACACACACACAAAGGCATATTCTTCTTGTAAGTAAAGCTGCACGCAGTGTGTGACTGCGTGCAGCACGGGCATGCAGCTGCGTGCCATGTGCACGGACATGTGCACACTGAGCCCCAGCAGGTCCTCCAAGCAAACCTTAGCTGCACGTGTCGGCCCCTTCGCAACAAGAGCCAAGTTCTAATACTCGAAGATGCTCTAAGATACTCAAAAAGATGCTCTAAGATCCTCCAAGCAAAACGCTTTATGATCGGCTGTGACAACAAGGGACCAGCAATCGGGCCCAGCCCCAGGAAGCAGGCGGTGAGCAAGCCCTGTGACGATGCTTGTAGGCCTTCTCCAGACACTTCTGGCTTCGCCACGTGGTCAATGGCACCCTTTGCTCATCTCTGCTTTCTATGACTTCAATGTCCCAAGTCATGTGGACATGTCGGAATGCGGATGCCATCATCAGGAAATTGGCAACTGCCATGGAATCGGTGCCAAAGTGCAACCCAAGCCAGGGCGAAGGTTACGCCATGTAGCGGCTCCACGATGAGAACGGCCCAAGGGGCGGACATCCGCGAATAGAACAACGCGCGGACAACCTCAAGGTGTGTCTGATGCAGGTTTCCCCAAACGATGTCACAAGGTTTCCTGGTGACTGAGCTCAAGCACCCAGGCCAGTTGCGCAAGCAGAATAAGCTTGGCTGTGCCAAAGCGTCGTAGCAAGCGGCTGGCCTGTGGGCGACAGAAGAACCACACAGGCTCCTTGTTGGATCATGTGCACGGTGCGCTGCAGCGATTTAGCAACCCGCCCAGCTGGATCACCCAAGGAGCATAAGCAAAGATGGGCAGCTCAAATATCACCGTGACCTGAGTCGAGCAAGCTATGGCAGCTATGGTTGTAGTTTGTTGAGTATGGAAGGAAGACGACAGCACAGCTCATAAAGAGGTTCGGGTGAGATGCCATCACCGAGAGGCCACAAAGGAAAGTAGAGGCCTGATCCGACACGTGCACTGAAAACACTGGAGAAAGTGGGCAAGAAGCAGCCGAGAACTAGACTCACGTGCCTTCATATCCTGAAGGAGAAGGAAAAGCATACCTGATGCAAGGCTGAAGCCAGCTCCTGGCAAACTGATACGGCATCATCCAGCCTTCCACCATCGAGAAGCCTGCGCCCAGAATAGTGATGTTGGCGAAGAACCACTTGCTCCTTCACAAGTCTAACAAATCTAACAAGCAAGTGGCCAAAAGGCTTGTCAGACTCTTCTGTTTCATGCAGAACTGTTCTGACTCTTGAAGCCGTCCTTGCAACGATTGCAAACACAGAATGGAAGCTCACCTCTCCCTGTGTTTCGCCACATGCTTCTGGCATCCCAGAATATGTCACGAAGAGAATGGCTCCCAACGTACAGAACGAAGCGAACATGACCTCGAGCAGCTTCAAGGCTTCAAGCCAACTTTCCCTCATTCATCCACAGAACAAGTGCAACTGGAGCACGCTAAATCCGTAGCTATCCAGCCTGGGCTCATGATGGCCAAGATGTTTAGTCCAGCAAGTCAGGATTTTTTGCCGGACACTTGCGAAAGCTGTCTCTAAGTCTCTAACTCATATCATCTAAGCAGCAACGGCCCCAGAATCAAGTGCATGCCTCCCCAGCCGATTGCTCCGTAGATGCGGGCCTGGCCCCAGCTGCCAGCATCCTGCTGACCTGAAGAGCAAAGAAAAGCAAACAAAAGCCCCCCCCCCTCCTTGGGCTCAGGGGCCCTTTGGGTTGAGGGCTTAGGATGGCTGAGGGCTGTAGAAAGACCAACTTTCGCAAACTTGCCGATAGCCCCGCCAGTCAAGTCGCAGGCAGCGAGTGCCAGCGCATCCATCATTGAGAGTGCAGGGGCCCCCATCACAGAGAATGTCCAGAGTGCCAAGCTTCGAATCATCTTGGTTCAGAGAGCAAGGCTGAGCTGCTAGCTCCTCTTCAGGATTCGTGTTCAATAAATTTCTCAAATGTGCACAATCACCGGAGCAGTTGGTTTTACAACGTCTGGCGTCTAGGGGGGAGCTGTAGCCGGAAATGCACCCTAGCTGATGCTCATGATGCTCCGCTCCTGCCTCGTCAAAGGCGCGCAATCACTGGGGCAGCTGGTTCTGCAACGTCTGGGGTCTAGGGGGCCCTTTGGCCGGAAAAATACCCAGCTGATGCTCATGATGCTCCTATCCTGCCTCGTGAAACGCGCGCAATCACTGGGGCAGTTGGTTTTGCAACGTCAGGCGTCCAGGGGGTCCATGTGGCCGGAAATATACAAAGCTGATGCTCATGATGCTCCCCTCCTGCCCCGTCAAATGCGCGAAATCGCTGGGGAATTTGGTTTTGCAACGTCTGGCGTCTAGGGGAACCCCTGTTACCCTCCTGCCTCGTCAAATGCGCGCCATTACTGGGGCAGTTGGTTTTGCAATGTCTGGCATCTAGGGGGAAGCAATTATTAATGTGTCCAGAAGCTAGGAAAGACAATAACTTGTACTTTGTGCCCCCGTTAAAAAACCTGTATTTTCGTTACTATCTTTTGGTTTCTCACTGACTTTGTTCACTAATAAAACTATGTAGAATATAATAAAACAATCATAATAATAGAAATAACAATAGAAATAATAAGACCAAGAATAAAAATATACTAAGTGAAAAAAAAGAATCAAAAGACCAAAACATAATTGTTTTACTATTACTTAGGCTGATGCTCATGATGCTCCCCTCCTGCCTCGTCAAAGGCGCGCAATCACTGGGGCAGTTGGTTTTGCAACGTCTGGCGTCTAGGGGGGCCTGTGGCTGGAAATATACCCAGCTGATGCTCATGATGCTCCCCTCCTGCCTCGTCAAAGGCGCGCAATCACTGGGGCAGTTGGTTTTGCAACGTCTGGCGTCTTAGGGGGAACCTGTGGCTGGAAATGTACCCAGCTGATGCTCATGATGCCCCCCTCCTGCCTCGTGAAATGCGCGCAATCACTGGGGCAGTTGGTTTTGCAACGTCTGGCGTCTAGGGGGACCTGTGGCTGGAAATGTAGCCAGCTGATGCTCATGATGCCCCCCCTCCTGCCTCGTGAACTGCGCGCAATCACTGGGACAGTTGGTTTTGCAACGTCTGTCTGGCGTCTAGGGGGGACCTGTGGCTGGAAATATACCCAGCTGATGCTGATGATGCCCCCCTCCTGCCTCGTGAAATGCGCGCAATCACTGGAGCAGTTGGTTTTGCAACGTCTGGCGTCTAGGGGCGACCTGGCGCAATCACTGGGGCAGTTGGTTTTGCAACGTCTGGCGTCTAGGGGGGGACCTGTGGCTGGAAATATACCCAGCTGATGCTCATGATGCCCCCCTCCTGCCTCGTGACAATCACTGGGGCAGTTGGTTTTGCAACGTCTGGCGTCTAGGGGGGACCTGTGGCTGGAAATGTATCCAGCTGATGCTCATGATGCCCCCCTCCTGCCTCGTGAACTGCGCGCAATCACTGGGGCAGTTGGTTTTGCAACGTCTGGTGTCTAGGGGGAACCTGTGGCTGGAAATGTACCCAGCTGATGCTCATGATGCCCCTCTCCTGCCTCGTGAAATGCGCGCAATCACTGGGGCAGTTGGTTTTGCAACGTCTGGCGGACCTGTGGCTGGAAATGTACCCAGCTGATGCTCATGATGCCCCCCTCCTGCCTCGTGAAATGCGCGCAATCACTGGGGCAGTTGGTTTTGCAACGTCTGGCATCTAGGGGGGACCTGTGGCTGGAAATGTACCCAGCTGATGCTCATGATGCCCCCCTCCTGCCTCGTGAAATGCGCGCAATCACTGGGGCAGTTGGTTTTGCAACGTCTGGCGTCTAGGGGGACCTGTGGCTGGAAATGTACCCAGCTGATGCTCATGATGCCCCCCTCCTGCCTCTTGAAATGTGCGCAATCACTGGGGCAGTTGGTTTTGCAACGTCTGGCGTCTAGGGGGGGACCTGTGGCTGGAAATGTAGCCAGCTGATGCTCATGATGCCCCCCTCCTG